ATTTTAAAAATGCTCAGAGGTAAAAACAGGGTTTAAAATATTGAAAACCACGGAGTTGGTTCGGGCGCCAAAAACCGAACGCCGAAAACCGAACGCCGAAAGCCGAACGCCGACTTAGGTGGTTTTGGTTCTGAGCAAGGACCAGGGATTTTAACAATAAAAGAAGTCATCAAAAATGTTTGTTTTGATGCAAAAAAAATATTTTATGGTTTGTAAAAATTGTTTTGACTTTTTTAGAACCGAGACTTGAATATATTGTCGGTTTTGATCACAAAAGACCGACTCGACTAAGTCTTCAATTCTTGATCTTGTCCTTGAGTCTTTTAGGTCTTGTTCCAAGCCATTCTTCACGCCTTGAGTTATTCAACGAAACTCTTTTTATCCACGGCGGTTTGGCAATTATCAAAACCTGTCAGAAATGAACACGACTTTAGTTTATCGTACAAAGTGTGTTCCAACAATTTCCCCCTTTTTGATAATGGCAAACAAGACGGGGATATGCATAGGGTTTTGATCTTTTTGAAAAAATTCCCCCTGAATATATGCAGAGCCCTTATCTTCCCCCTTTTGACATTAACAAAAAGATTGTTAACAACAAAAATCATAAAGATTTTTATTAATTAATTAAGGGAAATAGCGGAGTACATAACGAAAGCATATGTAAAGATGATAAAATAAGGAAGAGAAGAAAGTAGAGCTAGAGCTCTAGAAATCCGGGGAAAGATCATTGAGAAGTTGTTCTTCGTCAATGTCTTCTTCTTCTTCGTCATCTTCATCACCATCACTATCATCATCATCATCATCTTCTTCTTCTTCCTCTTCTTCTTCTTCTTCTTCCTCATCGTCCACCTCGTCATCTCTACCAACGTTTTGAGTCCCACTTTGTTCAGCTCCGAAATTCGGTGGAGGAACGTAAGGGACCATTTGAGCGTACGGGTAATTGACAAAGTCAAAATACCCGTGAAGTTCACGGCTCAAGGTATTGACGTTGTGTGCCGTTTTGGAGACGTTGGTGTCAATCCGAGAGAGAGTGGCGGTTAAGGCTGCCATTTGCTCGGCGAGAGAAGGATTGGTCGAAGTGGTGGCGGCTAAGGCAGTGGCTCTCGGTTGGCGGCATGGACGAGGCTGTCGAAACGGAGTCTCGTCGGTGCCCGAGTGGAAAGAAGATTCTTCAATCTCCCAATGCTTTGTCCCCTTTATCTTTGGCCCAACATCGGTTTTGATGTTGTATTCTTCAAGAATTCCCATGACAAGGAGGGCGTAGGGGAGCGGCCGATTGTCGGAAGTGGCCGTGAACATGTGAGTCATCACAAATTTACACCAATTGAGATTGGCGTTGTGAATCATCGCATGAATTGTCTTCGTGTCCTCCTAGGAGAGAGTGGTGTGATTGAACTTCCTGGGCTTTAGAATCCGTGTCAAAACATAAAAGATGAATCGAAACACGGGACTCATGAAAGCAATCGTAGGGCGCCACTGTTGGGGAGTGGGTATGAAGTGTCGGATGCCCACTTCCTCCAAGAGAGCGGTCTCATTGAACCGCGCTCCTTCTTCTCCGACGTAGAGCCCGAGATCTTGTCCGTCCCGATGAAGCCCGGTGAGGATTTGAATGTTCTCCTCATTCAAATAGATGTCCACCCCGTTGACGTTAGAGATCAATGCTCCGTCCTCATCCTTTTTCATGTTCGAGTAGAAACCTCGAACAAGAAAGGGTTGATAATTGACCTTCTTGATGTAGAGGAGATCGAGGAAGTTTCCACGTTCGAGGATAATCCATGCCTCACGTGGAATGGAGTCATGAATGAAGCGGGCTGTGGAGAATCGGGGAGGGAGAATCTCTCGGTGCTCAAATTTCTCCGAGAACCGCGTCGCCTCCGCGTGGTCGTTGAACCAAAGGAACGACTCGTCGAGATACTTGTGCGCTGGTGGTGGAGGAGCCGAAGAGGAAGCAACGTTCTTTCCGGTGCGGGAACGCTTTCTTTGACCGCCTGCCATTGCAACAAGAGAGGAGAGAGAGATTGCAGAAATTTTTGAAAGAAATGAAGAATAGGAGCAAGAATGATGAATTATGATGAATATATGGAGAAGAGATGATTGGAATGAGTAAAAATGGAGTAGATATCACCAATATATAGTGGAGGAGGTGTAGAGATCCGTTGGGATGGTCAAACAAGGTATTAACTGCTCTCCAACGTCTCTGCAACGGTCAGATTTTTGAAAAATCGCCGTTGATAATCGATTTACACTCCCTGTAAATCGAATATCAGAGGCTTCAGATTCTCCGCCAAAGAAACTGCAGGCTTCAATAATCGATTTCTGCCTTGGTTGTAAATCGATTGTTGGAGAGAATTTGCCTCATATTTCTGAAGGCTTTAATAGTCGATGTACATGATTTTTGTAAATCGATTGTTGATGTCTCCAGCTAAGTTTCCTCAAACTCCTGCAGGCTCAGATAATCGATTATCTTAATGTTGATAATCGATTGTTGGCTCCTTCAGTTTCTTTGCTCTAACTTCTGTGGGTTGTGATAGTCGATTATCACAAGCCTGTAAATCGATTTACACTCAGTCCTGGAACTAGAAATCGATTTCTTTTGTTCCCCCTGACTTTGACACCTGAAAATAAAATTAAAAAAAAGAGCCCTGCAAAAAAGAATTAAAAACGTCTCCGACGTTCAAGTTAGTAGGGACCAAAAATAATAATTAATGCACAATTTAGATCATCGTGGAGTCAAGGATTCCGAGTTCACTACGAATGCGGAAGAACGACTCTTTCTCTAAAGGTTTTGTGAAAATGTC